CAGAAAATCTCAGACATGAAAGAAGATGAATTTCAGCAGTTTCGTATGGTTTCTCCCAAAGAACCCGCCGACAGAGCTCCGCCCGTCCTTCTTTCTGCTGGCAGGTCTTTTCAACTCTTGCGGGAAATCATGAGGGACTCGAGGCACCTGGCTGTGGCCACCAGTGGCCAGAGGGTATAATAAGCTAAGCAAATGTGGCATGGACCCACAGCCTAGACAGATTTTGGCTCTAAATGAGGATGTGGAGTGACATTCCGCACACATTCCCTGGGTGTACTTGGTTTTGCTGGGATGGGGTTGCCGCAGAAACAATCATGGTCAATGGCTTAATCAATGGCTTAATCAATGGCTTAATCAATCCTTTCCCGGAAATCCAGAATCAATGGCTTAATCAATGGCTTCATCAATGGCTTAATCAATGGCTTAATCAGAAACAATCATGGTCAGTGGCTTAAACAACCCACACCAAAGCCCGAAAACGATGTCAAGGCACCTCATCCAGACCAGAATTGACCGTGACATCCTGATGCCATGATGGGAATGCCTGCACCCTCAGGGTAGCTAACCTGGAAATTCAGAGATTCTAGTAATTATCCTGGATTCAAAGAAATTGAATTCTGGAATCAGAGTAGGAGATTCTGGATTCAGAGACGGGAACTAACCTGTGGACAATGAAGTTGAAACCAATTCTTTGACCAAAATCTGAGGCTTTGGGGGATTGAAATTTTGATCCATGAAAATCCAAAGTTGCTCGAACTTGGTTCGCTCGTTCGTGGTTCGTAACCCTACAGACTTGCACTCAGCATCCTCATGATTGTCACTATGAGCCAAGTATATAATGGTATCATTAAATTATATTAATTTAATGTATGTATATATATATGTATATATATTCATTACAGTATTACAGTATTACATATAGCACAAAAGGATTATACATATACACGTTGTCTAATTTGTACAATATCCCTTTCGTGTTCGTTCCATCCAATTTGTCGGTCTGTGAACGTGTAACTTCTGCGAGCCTCCTCCACATCGTCCTGTCGACGGCGGTATCATCATTTCGGGGGACAAGAACAGGGCCCCCCAAATGATAGGTAAATTGGTTTTGGTATCATGGATATATCATGGATATATCTGCAACTGGATGGGTTAATCCAACTTATCACTGGCTAACTTTGATAATTGAAAGTGAGATAAACCAAGCTAGAGATATTGCCCACACAAATGTCCGTTTAGAAAATGGTAAAAGTTGTCACGTTCTTCAAAAACATGCGGGACTCCCTACTGCAAGAGACCGTCAAGTCGTGCTCGACAGTGTGACCCATGTTCGCATAGCGAACAAAAATTGGACATCAGCAAAAAAAACACGGGTCGGCAGCCAGTAATCCCCGTATAATCCCAGTATTGTTGGTTTCTGATCATTTCCCCACATATAAACCATCAACCAGCGGCTCGTTTTGGCACTGAATTTGAGCTGTGACATCTGACCAGTTCGATCCAGTTTCCATCCTCATCAATTTGGGCAGAGGAAAATGATCAACCATGGGAGAGTTCAAAAATTCTCTACGTTTGAGTCATACTCATATAGCAAGACAGGTTCCGGTTCAAATCCCATCAATTAGATCCTTAATTTTCGAGATAGTAAACATCCAATTCTATCATTGGTGCGGTTGTCACGCCCAAAACCCCACAATATATCTATCTATCTGTCTGTCTGTCTGTCTGTCTGTCTGTCTGTCTGTCTGTCGATCTATCTATCTATTTATCTATCTATCTATCTATCTGTATATATATATATATCCCCCCAGCATAGCCCATAGAAACTCTATATCCCCATTCCCCCTCCTCCAGGTAGTTATCCAACGCCGAGGTCGAAGGAGTTGGCGCCACCGTGCCCGGCTCGCATTGCCCAGAGGTGGATCTGGCGCAGCATGCTGAGTTCACCATGGAAGAATTGTGATTTTTTCATTGGGGAAAAATTGGAGTTGGGCACTGAAAAATATTGAATATATATATATATACACGGTAATGACCCGGTGGCCCTGGGGGATTTGCTGATGCTGTCCCAGAGCGGTTGATTTTTGGGCACAGTGGACACAATCTGTTAAAGCATCTGTTAAAGCACAGCCTGCCTGCGACTGAATTTCCCCAACCAGACAAAATTTACAATTATCATTTCTTCACGACCAAATTCCTCTCGCGAACCGTACGCTCAGACTCCAAGCAGTCAAAAAGATGAGAGGGGAATCCGTCGAGTTTCCTCAGGTTGGTATGATTAAAAAGCAGGGAATCACGGAAAAATGTCGGGATTTTCTCTTTAAAAAATCGTTGACACTACAGTAATTTTTGGTGATTAAATATCAATAAATTCCCCTCGAGAAATCTCTCCAAAAAAACGGGAGTCTAGCTGCGTCCCCGCGTCACCACCTGTGCTGATTCTCTGCGCTGCGGATCCGGCGCTGCGCATTCTCCGCCTGGGGTACCCACATTTTAGGAACCCTCCCTCTCTCTCTCTATATATATATGATATATATATACACACACATCATATTAGGACTACAGGATGGGCTAATTCTTCATATTTACAGTTTAACATTTTTGCACCAATAATCTTGTAATCACCAGCTACATATACATATATTATATCAATTATTATATATCATATTCCTCAACCAAAAGGATGAAACCTGGTGATGTGAATAGCTTTTGAAAAAAGATGCAGCGCCACTGGACCCACAAATTGTGCAACTGGAGTAGATAGAATAAATGGGAAGATTATTGAAAATTCCATATTCTATCTACTTCAGGATTATTTGGTCCAGCACCCCTTGGCTCCTCATGTGGATATGGGTCAAAATATTCCGCCATTCACATTTACCATCCAGCGAATTTTTGGGTGTACTCAACTGTGACCCAAACCCACAATGCGTCAGAATGGGATCATTGATCAGATCATGCCCACAATTCTAATCATCATCTTGCTAAATTCGAATGGCCAGGTTCTTAATATTTGATAGACCTTAACATGGAATGTATCCTGTTTACGGTAAAATAACCTTAAACACATGTTTATCGTACCATTTTTGGGATCATTTCCCGACTATCAACCGACTAATACAAACCAAGCCACACTGCGAGGCTCCTCAGCACCTGTTCAACACCAACAATGATGGGACCCTACAACTTCTTCATTGGGGCAAAAAACCATGGGAAAATGGTGTTTGTACCATCGTTTTGAGGTGGTTTTATCTAGGACAAAATAGGGACATAGTGGGATATCCGTGGATATCCAACCAATAATTTGAGATTTGGGTTTATCTGAAAATGGGGGGATACTCCCCCAAATTATGGCAATCTGAATTTTACCGTTAGGGAAAATGTCCATAAACCGTTGGATTTTGAGGGCACCCTATTTCAGACAAACCCTATGAATTGGGGCCCATGATCTTAATGAACTCCCAGTTCACCTGAGTTGTGGGGCAGAACATGATCCTTCTCGTAGGAGCAATCATCGAAACTTCCCCTGAAAGCATCCTGAGATTTGGTCGTTAAAAACAATGGGATCCCCTGGAATCCCCTGGGATCCCCTGGGACCCTGGGAGGCCCTGCCATCGTGCAACGCAGGCTTCGATTGCGGCCGTAGTGCTCCGCGCATCTGCTGCCGGAGGCTTCGTGAGGCGGCCTGAGGGCGAGTGATGTTTGTTGGTTTAAGGCAACTAACTATAAATATATCCCATCTAACTCTAGAATACTCTAGATATATCATGATGTGTCATGATAGATCTTTCATAAATATGCAGAAACCCTAGTTAAGTTACATATATCATGATAGATCTATCATAAACCCTAGTTCAGTTACTTAGAAGCATGCAATAAACTACATCTAGCTAAGTAGGGGGGTACGGCCTGGAGTAGTACATATTGTATGGGCGGGTGATAGTGATTGTATGCTACTACAATATAATATTCAATTGCCGATTGTAGTTATCCATGATCGTTGGTTTTTAGGCATTGTATAGCGATGGGGTAGTTGTGATTCAATGGCTGTCATGACGACACAACCAACATATTAATCACAGTCTATATATATATTATTACATATAATAATTGAGTATATATTGTCATTAGAGAACTACTACCTAACGGGTAGCATGGCTGCATAGTATTGCAAACAAATCAGTACAACCATGATATTAAAGTACTACTATCATTGTGAGATATTATGGGTAATATTTATTATGGTCTTCAGTAATATACAGGACGACACAGTATCAATATCATCGTGGATAGTGCAATTTGTACTAGCAATTTTATAATCTAGCGATATCCGTAAGGCACACATGGGCAAGCATGTTTGTTTTGCATACCAAAATTTATGGGACAAATATTACATCCCATATTTCCATTACGATCCCATCATTTGCGCTCTGATAAACTCGCATAGCTCTGGGAAATCAGCAGGTTTTTAATATGTGTTATAGGTAAATCATCTATAAATGGTCAAGTTTCCATTGCTATGTTAGTCCACCGGGGATCATTGTAGATGATATGCCTATAGTCTATAGATGTCTTTAGTCCACTGGGGTATTCCATTCTGTTATCATCTATTACTTCTGTTATATGTGTTCCATAGGTAAGTCATCTATAAAGTCTATAAATGGTCAACCTTTCCATAGCTGCCATAGCTATGTCCAGTGGCAGGGTACCAAGAGTCGCCTCAATCATCGCCGCTCGATCCAAGCCATCTTCCACCTGGACGAAGAGGGAATGACCGCATCATCAAATGGGGCTGACTCAAAATCATCTGAAAATCATGGGAAAATGCAGGTTTCATGGAACATGTTCATAGGTTTCATGGCAAAATCCAATGAAAATCATGGGGAAAATCCAAGGGAAACTCAGCGGGTAGTTTATCCCCGTGACATGGAGAAAAAAACTTGGGATCGAAGATATCAACAATAACAGGGCAGCGTTCAACAAAAAGGTTGAGATGCAATCCAAAAATATCTGGATCAAAATAAGTGTTGATCAGTTGATCCTTTCATAATTCTCAGACTTGCATTTACGATCAGCTCCCATATGAAGCAACATGAATCAACAATGTTGATTCATGTTGGTGCATGTATTTTACAAAGACAAACAGGAGAAGTATGGATTTCCAGTGTTTCACTAGTGGTCCCAGTTCAATGATTTCTGGGGTCCCGGTTCATTTCTGCCTGGAAGGTCCCTTTCTTATTCACCAGTTGCACTGGTCTTTAGAACCTCACTATGGGGACCTGTGCCGATTTTTACTTGTGTTTAGCAGAGTAATCCACCTGATGTGGAACTGGGATCCAAGAGAATCCATCAAGACATCAAATCGCAGTGGGTCAAAACTCTACTGCATTTTTTTTTGAGGAACCAATCAATTGGGACATGAATGCACCTTCACCCGACATTAGCCACGTGGATAGCTTCAGCCCTTATCCGAACAAGCCAAACGGCTCATCATTGTCCGAACCCAATCAGACTGGACCACTTGATTCCAAGGCCCTCCTCTCCCACAAAAGTTTTTTTTCGATCCACAGCTAGGTACGTGCTTGACATGGAACCTTTATAAACATATATATATATATACATACATATATATATATATATTTATATACATATATATATATATACTTATATTAATACTTATATATTAATACTTATATATTAATAGTTATATATGGACGATTTGGGACTGTCTACCGGGAACCTTTTTGCATCGGTCGAGGAGTGCGAGGGGAGTGCCCGAGCTACCAAAGGGGCCCGCCTTCATGCCCGGTCAACGCGCGAACCTTGGCGAGTTGTGCTGCTGACAAAGGGTGAGCAATGTTCAAAAGTCCAAGTGTTTGATGATGATATACGGGGTTGTACTATCCAATATGTATATATATACTTATGTATATATACTTATGTATATGTATATACTTATATATATATACTTGTATATATATATACACTTGTATATATATATATATTTATTTATATATATATACACTTATTTATATATATATACTTATATATATACTTATATATATACTTATATATATATACTTTTATATATACGTGTATATATATATACATATATATATATACTTGTATATATATACTTATATATATACTTATATATATACTTATATATATACTTATATATATACTTATATATATACTTATATATATACTTATATATATACTTATATATATACTTATATATATACTTATATATATACTTATATATATATACTTATACATATATACTTATATACATACTTATACATATATATATACTTATATATATACTTATATATATATACTTATATATATACTTATATATATATGTTTTGTTTATATCTATATGTATATTTATTTATATATATATATTGATATTTATATATTACATATATTCCAATATTATGTTGTTTTGATAATCATCACAATCAACTGGGAAATCCCTTGGTAACCAAGCAGTACAAAGGGGCGACGTTGCGGGTTTTGAACACTGCTCCACCGGGCAGAGTTGACCAAAAAATGTGGTTGAACAACGAGCCCAGCAAAATTTGACATGATGCAACCAGCAATGGATCAAAAAACCATCAAACACCAAGAACAAAAAGGAAAAGCTATAGAAAACATCTATATAGGAAATGGAAAGCCTGTAAAGGGTTCAGCTCAACAGAGTAAAATCAAAGCCATTGCTCCCAAAAGAATAACGTTCAAGATGTTCAAGGACTTTCAAGAATGATCTCAACAAATAAGGGTCACATGTGTAACGCACAAGGACCGTATGTGAAAAATGTGATTGGATCCAAACTTTTCTACAGGAACTTTGCCTCAAGTCTAGTTGGTTTCCAGTCCCATTCTGATTGTTGGTCGCACTTATCCAGGTGTGAATTCCATATGCGTTGGCGTTTCAATGATTCATGGTGACTTAGATAACCCCTGAATGGTGCTATGATCCCTGAGAAACAACCATTGGACCATCGCCCTTGGTCACATGTAGTTACAGTTTTCTTCCCACTCTGTAAGTGATGTTTACATTCAACATGATGAGTATCTGAGTTGGTGATTTCAACTCCCCGAAATATGTTGTTCTGGGATCATCATTATTTCCGAAGTTGAACATAAACAATATTCCAAACCACCAAGAACTTGAGGTAGGAAAATGTCCAAGTAATTCCAAATCCATCTCTAGTTTTCTAGGCCTTTAAATGTCGAGCCAGACCTTCCCACGGTGCTAAGGCATCCGGCTGCCCCTTGTCAGACGCATTCGGGAGCCACCAACGAGACTGTCGCAACCAAAAACTGGAAACATCCCCGAGGTGCTAAAAGCAGAAGCTGATGATATGGCAGTGTGTCAAAACCTTGTACCCCTGGTGAACATCAAAATAGCTGGTAAATGGATGTTCATCCCCCTAAAAATGGTATTAATAGGTATTGATCCATATCCATATCCAATGATATAGGGGGGATATAGGGGGATAGCCTTCTGACCATTCTAACCATCCTTGTGGATGGTTTATATACATGAGTGGCACCATTCGCCTCACAGGGGATATACTGTGGCGATGCAGCTTTTGAAACGCTCACTGCCCCCGGCAATCCCACAGGCGAGAACGCAGGGATTGACCCGTCATACTGCTTGGTTAATAGAGATTCTCTAAACTGACTGAGGATAATCCCCAGTATGTTAGGTAGGATAATCCCCCGTAATCATGAACAACAGGGGTTTTGAACACACTTCCACCATCCCACCTACTGCCGTCTCGATGCCGGAAATGGCCGGGGGTGGCACTTCTCTAGTATGCTACTTTTGAAACAAATCCTGTACCTGTGGACTTCAGCACTTTGTTAGTATAGTAATTGTGACTGTCTCTATCTTCCACCATTTCTTGTTTGTTTTTCCGGAATTCTTTGGCATTGATTAGGTTGTTGGCTTTCCTGTTTTGTTGGAGAACTGTCTCGGAACATTAACAGCCTGAACTGCACCGCAGGTGGAAAATTATGGGTCCATGTTTCATGCCTCGCGCGGTGTCTCGCTTGAGCCAGGGGCGACGGCATCTCCGTTTTCATAGTTGAGTCCTCTGCTAAATAGCGGGCAAGGTCACGCCGTTCTCCTGCTGTTGACATTCCACAAATGACTTGAATAGAGCCATTCATGGGAAGTAATGTATACATATATATATATATTTATTTATTATCTACAATTATATACAATTATATACAATTATATATACATGTGCATTCATATTTCGCTACATAAATAAGCATAAATAGCTGAAACTTTCAGCCATTTGGGACGATCGCTGTATTCGACTGACGCCATAGGCTCTGAGATTGATGGAATTGAAGCATCAAAATATGGCGTGTTCAATGAGAAATATTGGGATATTTGAGTTCATATCACTGACAAATGATGGTAGATTGACATTTACTGACTATGAAATTGGATTTATTGGAGCAACCATCAATTATATACAGATATATACAGGGCTTCTATGGCTTTCAAGTATCAAACATACAGATATTTTTCATGGACAAAATGATGGTTGATTGGTTAATTGAAGGGTCATTAACCTATACCTAGTTTATTAGGCATCATGAACTCACCCTCAATTAGCGTGATGGCTATTTACCAGTCAAGATACAGAGGTGTGATTCATGGCTTATATGGAAAAGGCACATTTCTACGGGATGGAAAGGCACATTTCATACTATGAACCCCAGAAAAGTTACAAGACCCTAGAGGCCTAGAAAGTTGTAAGCACTGGAATTAAAACACCATTTATAGTCTATAGTGATCACTGCCGCATAAATGATTGCGTTAGACAGTTTTAAACAAGCACCATTTACCAGAGACCTGCATGGCGGAAAGACACACCTCCTCACAATTGGTGGTGACACTGTTTTGCTTGTCAATGGCTATATCAAGAAACATGAGACATAGATAGTCATAGTATTTATTATATTCTCCCTGGCCTATTTTCCTTATATATGATGAAAATCATCCAAAATCTGCGCGTTTCAATTTGTTTTTAACCCGCCATCTCTAGAGCAAACTGGTCTGCTAGGACGCGTCAGCGTCGCCATCGTCACTTCCGCGAACCAGACTTTGGGGTCACCTCCACCACGCTCACAAACATTCCCATGGCCGACTCATAAGGGGTTGATTTCGAATAAAGCCGAAGTAGTTCACAGCGGATCTGGTTATGGAGCCCAACCAAAAAAAAAACACACATCCCCCAACACCAGACCCGTACCCGAATCTAATCTGACGATTCATTGGAAACTGACGATCGGCTCGCTGGAAGCGCAGGAATCCCGCCCCGCTTCACCAAAGCTTCACGGCCTGCACCTTTGGGACATCAACATATCTATATAATATACATATATATATATATGTATAATATATATATATACATATATATATATATATTTATTTATTTATTTGTTGAATGTATATCATTGTACCATGATTGCATGTATTTATAGTGCATGTTGCAAACATTAAAACTGTAAATTTATGAAAACGTGGAAATAATATGAATGGCAACACACATAATGGATTCATTTAGGGATATATTTATTGGTATCGGATACGGTTGGGAAATCCCGTACAGTGGTTTGCTGTGGTTTGTATATGAATCAAATCCTTTGTACATCAGTAGAGAACAAACATATGTTCCATTTTTCACCAAAGTTCTGCACAACACATTTATTCAATTGCCAAGACATACTATTTTGCTGGATCCCATGAGGAATCACCATCAAAAACCTAATGCCTTGAGGTCACGTATGGTCAAATTTTAGGGAAACGGTGTATGATGGAACAGGACAAAACATCCACAAAACAAGGTCCTGCAATGGTTTAATCAATTCTAGGTTTGGCCTCCTTGAATGTGCACGTTGTTTCGCTGGTTTCAAAAAATTGACACAACCACGCACCCCGTGTTCAGCATTAGTTTCCCAAATTGCCATGGAAAGAAAACAAAAAATGAACCTGGATAATTTGCAACAATTTGCAACAATTTGCAACAATTTGCAACAATTGCCGGTCATTCTGTCGCAAACATGGTTGTCCGCAGATCAGGACCTTGAATCGCCACATTGATCGTAACGCAGCTGCGATCTGCGCAAACACCAGCCTGACGCAAATGCAAATGGCAATTGGCAATCTGCACTTTAATAAGCCCGGCCACACACAACACTACTCGCAAAAATGCATGTTTTTGCATGGGTTCGTCAGTGCTGATTTTCTTCATGGCAGTGGTTTTGGTTGTTCCTTCTGGTCCATGTTAATGTTTGCACCTGTTCTTGCTTGCAAGAGGGTCTTGCCGCACACACGCACGGGATGAATATAGTCAAACTTGCATGAGTTTGCAACATGTGGGTATTGTCGTCCACACCATACCACGTGGGTTATAGGTTGTCTACGCGCATGCTAACCGTCTGTCACGCGCCCACGTGAAGAAGTCACGATCAAACAGTCTAACATATTCAAGCAAAATCCAAGCCAGATGCAGCATTCTTTCAAACAATAAAACACCAAGAGGTTGGTGGCAGCAAGTCCTTCATATGCCTTCAAACCAAGTGCATCCAACCGTGCCCGTACTTGTTTCATTTGAGCCTCGGCGCGTCGCTTCCGCAACAAGCGCCGTAGTTGGTCCCAACCACGTTTTGCCCTGCACAGCATCCGTGGCGCAAGGGTAAGCAAATTGTCGCTGGGCAACCAAATGTGTTTCGGATCCGGGGCTTGTCACATTGTACCACCCAAGAAGGATTCGGGGGGGGCCCATCAAATTCTCGCGCCCAACAGTGTTAACAATGACTCGGCCAATGACATCAGCCGGCGGCGCGGATATTCGGAGCATTCCCAAGTTCCAAGCGCCCGCTCTGCCCCCAACTCCCCCAAGGCCTTTTCTGCAAGACTAACCGCTGCACTCGCCCGAAGGCTCGGTCCGATGCGGCCGCAGCTCCAACTGCCTCCTGGTGGGGGCTTGAGCGTTGCTGCGCGCGGCGACCGAGGCAGCGGATGGAACAGTTCCGCACATGGCGTGTCCAAGCCCCGTCACCAAGGTTGGATATAGTCCAAACATTCTTGGAAGATATTGGAAGATCATTCACGCCAGATTCCTTCAACCATATGCAAGCGCATGACGAGGCCTTTCAGTAGAGAATCCGCAGAGGGTTAGTGGATTGCGTGATAGATAGTGGTAGATACATGACAGAGCTGTGCCTGTGGCCCCTCCAAGATGTCCCCTTCAAATCCAGGTGAGACGGTAACTCTGCTGACATGCCATTATCAAAAAGGGGTTCGTCTTTGGGCCACGACATCAGGAACCCACATATATATATATATATTATATTATATATATATATTATATTCTCCATCGGAGAACCCCAGGCCCCTCGGGTATATATATATATATAGTTACAGAAATGAGCTCGGTGTCCCGGCGAAACATGTATTTTGCGCCCCAGCACATTTGTATCTGCAAGACTATATGTGTATGATTGTGTGTACATAGGTATCTACACGCCACACAAGCACACCACACAAGCCCCATCTAACCTAATCCAATCGAATAGGATTTAATCCAGCCGACTGGAAATAATCAAATCAAATCCAGAAATCATTATCTATCTATGTAGCATCCCTTAGTAAGCTACAACCTTTATGAACATATAGTATCTCTTGGGGTCAGACAATGGCTGGTGGATGGTATCCTGGGCATCTGCCCAACCTTGGCTTAATGCAAATCTGCCAACTTTGGGGTAAATCACGTTGAATCGCATTTGTTCATCGAATAGTGGACATGTTTAAAATATGTATATATATATATGTGTATATATATATGTATATATGTATATATATATATATATTCATGCAAATTTACTATCAAAAAGGCAATATTAATGTAGTTATGTATGCCATATTGTCACTACGAGCCACCGGCTGCACTTGGAATAATGATAATTCAAGCCGCGTTGCAAGTCTCCTCAAGGAATAAATATCTAATATAAATATGTATATATATATATACATATTATATATATGTATATATATATACATACATACTATATATATATGTGCATACTATATATATACATATTTTAAACCCATATTATATATATATATATTATATTATATATATATTGAATTGAGATTATATGACTATGGGTCAAAACCTGCTACCCTTTTCTGTTCACAGCAAAATAGTTGGCATAGCTGGGTAGTCCCGAAATATGGTATAATCGATTATAATCGGTCTTGACCCATCCACATGCAGTAAAGCGTTAGCCTCAGTAAAGCATTAGCTTAGGTAGCCCCCCATATCACTGGTGGCACTTGGCTTTTGCAAAGTCCTAAATGGGAGCCGTGCAGCCGCAAAAGCATGCAAAAGCCATGTGGAAGACTTGTAGGTGACGCATTATTTAGAAGGACCCGGATCCGAGTAATTCATTCAGGACCGAAAAAAGCATCACCAAACAAAAGAAAAAACATTCTCCAGAATCGATCTCGATGTTCAATGTTCATGTTGGTAAGCAAAGCCATGCTTTTTCGATGTCCGGTCCTTGACCTGAAGAACATATGGGTCAAGTGATATGGGATGAATGGTCGTCCATCCAGAATAAACCTCATTAAATCATATCAAATCCCTGTGAAAATGGATTGATGACCATCCCCAATTACCGGCCAGTTATCCTCCAACTTTTCAGCATGGCAATTTTTCCAATGCCAGATAAAATGACAGATAGAATGGCAAAATAAAAGTCAGATATGCCAGATAGAGTGTAAGCGCCAAAAAAATGTTAGAACATATGTCAGATAAGATGTCAGATGGAATGTCAGATGAGATACTGTACCAAATAGAAAATAGAACACGAAAAAGAATGCCAGATCAATGAATCAAATACCAAATATAATGCCCAGTGTATATGTCAGATAAGATCTCAGATAGAACGCCTGACAGAAAGTCAGAGTATATGTGAGATAAGGTGTCAAATGTCAGATAGAATGCCACATAAAATGTCAGATAGGATGTCAGAATTTGTGTCAGATAGAACGTCAGAATTTGTGTCAAATAGAATGTCAGAATGTATGTAAGGATATTTGCTTGAATTGTGTATATATATACATGTCAGATAGAGTGCCAAGTAAAATGTCAGAATTCATATCAGATAGATTGTGAGTTGGAGGGAATCTCTCTAAGAAAGTAACTTCCATTTTTGGTGTATGTATATACTATGCATTTGGGTTTGGGTTTGGTTCGACCGGTTCGACGCGTCTTTTTCTACAAGAAACGGCAAGTGGCGGTTGGAATCGCTGGAAATCTAAGCTCGCAACGGAAAATATCCATCATGAAAATAGATGATTGTCTCATTGAAAACCCGTTAAAATTCACAATGGAATTTCAATTCTATGGATGATTGTCCTATTCTCAAGAGAAAAACATGGTGGCTTGTCCGTGGTTTTCCGGCGAGTTTTCCAAGAAAGGCCCTTATTTATGGTGGATCTATCATGATTTATCCATTTGGAGATGAGTTTTAACCATTCAGATCTACATAAACTAGAAATGAATCCATCTTCACCCCAAAAAAATGGCCAGATCTCCAAATCAGACTCTAAATGGACAAAATCATGAAATCCGTGTAGGATCCAGCAGTGGATGCTCCTGATACAGCGCGCGGTGCGTGCAGCGCAGACGTTCCAAGACTTCCTTCGTGTTGGCGACGAGGCAAAGCTACTCGGACTCCAGGAAACTAAGTGGATTCATTGCCATAGTATACCTTAGAGACTACTTCAGCGGATATGTGTATATTATATACATATATATATATTGTATACCTTAGATATTACAAACTGGATATATATATATACATATACATACATATATTATATAACCATGGTATACGATAGTTAGCCATAGTTCTACATCATTCGTTTTTCGGGGTTATTTCCCAACTGATGGGCGTTTGAGATACCACGAAACGGGGACTTCAGAACCAAGCATAACCAGTTACGAAGTACGATGATCCTCCATGGTTTATGCGGATGTACGCTCTGGAAATTTAGCCTTGGTATAGATGGTCCCGATTTTACCTACTATTTTAGTGGCGATTTTCCATAGCTATGTCGAATGACCGTAGACAATGTGCATATAATGAGATAGATCACCAACAATTTCGGTATTTCATGGGATTTAATCTAGCTAAGCTTGTCCCCACGTGGGACAAAGGGATTGAAGCAACAACAATTGGGGAGCCAACTTGATTCAGCAACACAAATTGAACTTTACGACACACCAAAGGGATTTTAACCAACAAACATGGGGGGGTTAGCTTAACATAGTCCCATGTGCATCACAGTGAGTGATTAATAACCCACACATACAACTGGTTACCATCCCATTGCAACTGGGCTATAGTACGAGGGTTAGGAACCACTTACCAACTGGATGCAATTCCGGGCATAAATTGAGTGCATGCAGAATTGGGACGCTTCTGCTTTTTCGTTGGCTTCAACTCCAACAAAATCATGGCGCCTAAAACATATTCTGCACCTCAACATTGGTTACCCAAAGCCCCAAGAAAGTTGTTAGTTTTGGGATACCAATCCGCATTTCAATCAGGGACTTTGCATGGCCATGGAAAGCAACAACTCACGAAAACCACTGGCCACTCGAAAGCTCCAAAAAAAACACTCAATCATTGCAACCCATTATTTTTGTCTTTCCGGTGTTTCAACCCCCGTTTCTGTTCCACCGCAAATTGAGATCTAACGGTGGATTAAATCAACACCCATCCGACGGTTTTAATGTGGTAAAACGACAATTGGGCTGGTTAAAATCATCTTAACTTCACCATGTTTCCCTAAATCTACCTCATTTTGTTTGCTGATTTTTAAAGGTTAACCATGGTTAACCCCCTAACCCAACTGATCACTGGAAACAAAACGCCAATTGGGCCCCCCCGCTGTGCAGTGGCTGAAGGATAGGCGTGTCAAAGCCGAACCCTGCGAATGTTGATGGTGGAAAATCAGGGATCCATACAGTAAGATCCCAATAGCTATTGAAAATCACCATTTATAGTGGATTTTCCCATTAAAAATGGTGATTTTCCATAGCTATGTTAGTTTACCAGAGGGTAATGCATGGAAGGACAATTTTTAGAACATGAGACTTGAATCTACTGTACCTAGAATGAAAGCGGATGTATATCCCATGAATGGACTCACAAAAAGTGGATTTTCAACCTCAAAAAAAAGCCTGCTGTTCAGACATGTTTGTCCCCCCAACTTTCGCCCTATCAGCCTATCAGCCTATCAGCCTCTTGGGGGTCTTCTTCCAATGCTGTTTTGAGATGTTTTGAGGTCTATCACAATCTACCCAAGGATTCCACACCATCTCTAACCAAATTAGGATCTGTCAGTTCGGGTCGACAGATCGGCACTCATACTGGTTTATGGCTAGTCTTGCGCTAGTGCGTATATATTGATAGGCATCAAAATGTGTCTACATTCATTTCTTACCCCACATCTTATCTTACATATATATATTTCAATTTCACACATGGCAAGACTTGCTTGGATTTGCCTAAGTGGCCAAGAAAATCAACCGAACACATTCCCAAAAATTTGATTCCCCAATATATTTCCATGGTAAAATAAGAACATCACCAGTGCCCCAGTATCCATCAGTAGCCCGGTGCCTGCAGGTTCAAGGCATCTTGCAGCCGACTCCGAGCTGTCAGCGCCTCCTCCAAGTTGTAGCAGCATGGAGCACCTCAGCTTGGAAACAGCTCCGTGGACCAGTGGATCCGTGGATCCAAATTGGCCGCCATGACCAGTGACCAACATCAGCCTGGTGATGTTTACCCATAACCCACTTAAAATAAACCAGAAAATTAACCATCTATGGTGATGTTTACCCCAACATTGACTCATCAATGGTGATGTTTACCCATAGCCCAACCATCTATGAAACCATAATATATTAATATATATTAACCATCTATGAAACCATGGCAAGCCATGTTTGCCATGGTGATGTTGACCCTAACATTGACCCATGTTGAGCCGGGACATGTCGGGACCCCCGATTTCACCCACACGGTACTTTGGCCGCGCACGCAGCATAGTGCTAAAGCCTGGTCGGGATCCCTGGAAACGACCCAGGGAGAAAGATGAACGATGAAAGCCACTAATTCGATCAGTGTCCACTGTGACATTTTGGGCTTAATTCTTGAAAAGTACAAGTGGTGCGATCAGAAACTGAGATGGAGAGAAGAGAATCCGGAGTTAAATCGTCACAACACTTACCCATCTTACCCTCCGGAAATTACTCATCACCAGCAATTCCTATGGTTTTCCTATGGTTTTCCCATTAAAACCCTAGGAAAGCCTCCAATTTTCAGTGACTGATTTTGGGATAGAAACTCGAGACTTCACCCTGGCAGGAGTTGCTGCTGGCCATGGCCAGGTGATCATTCCAAGCAACACACTTCTGGCAACGGGAAATACCCGTGATGTTTGAACTCATGTGATACATCCAAGAAATGACCCCGGTTTTACCAGAACTGGACGGGAAAGCTGACCAAGAGGAGAAATAGTGGTTTGGCTGGTGGCTGGTGGACGGTAAAGCCGTAAGAAACACTTATCATACATATAAAATAAAATATAATAAACATGAATAAACATGAATAAACTCAGAATTCTGGGTCAAACCCATGACTTAGTAAGGATTACACCAACGACCGGACATGGCTTACTTCCAGCGATCCAACCCAGCACCTCCGCCCAGCTCCACAGCTGCGTAGAAGCGCAGCTGAAGCTTCCTGGGCCTCGTTGCGTCAATGCTTCATGTGCCACATGCAGCGGGGTCGTCCGCCTCGACTTTCATGACTTGCCCAAAATCAACGTCTTTCAATGGATCAAATTTCCATGGTTGCCTACTTCCCCACTTGCCAGCTGATAGTTGGTAGCTTTCCACATTTTGCTATTGAATGTGCATGTTCTGCTTCGTTCTAGCATTTTAGTTGGCCGACAAGCATGGCCGCATGGCCTTGTCTGAACAGGTACCCTAAAAATCCACTGTTCATCATAATTTCCCTGTATTGGCATATCATGAGGTACACCCCAGTTTCAGATACACCCAAAATATCATATTAAGTTGCTTGAATCCCATATCCAGTTACGGTCTGATTGCAATCCAAATCTGATATAGTAGATAGATACATTATTATATATATATATATTATTATAAGTTGGTTGGATATGCCATTACATCCCATTTTCGTCCAAATAAATACGCAAATCCCCCTTACAATCGCCATGACATCCCACATCTTTGAGTGGTCCCAGGCTCCATCGGGCGCCCCAACTCCAGCACGGTGCCACCTGCTTTGGGCCGGCGCTTTTGGGCCCTCGTTCCGGTGGAACCTGGCCACGGGAAGATGTGACTGAAGCCATGGAGACTTTTAAGGTGTAAGGATCGGGATTTACCAACATAACTTTCAGATATGTTGGATAAATCAAACTACAGTATATTACATTATGTAATATCATATGTGCTAAGTCAACCATTACTTGCATATATATATATAACATATCATATTATATTATATATATATGAATTATACAAGTATGTTATTGTGTCATATTGTGTCACTATCATATTATATGAATCACACGTTTGTTGGTCATCTTCTCCCAGCTGCCTGAATGCAGTGTCAAGGCCTCTCTTACGGCCTGAATGTGGAGGCAGGATCGGAAGAGGCTGATTTTCACCCATTTTTGATGATTTAATGATGAAAAAGTGGGATTTAACCACGAACAATTGGGATTAATCATTTAAAAATTGGATTTATCGGGATTTACTGGACACTGAAGAAGAAATGCAAGAAATGCGGATACGGCCGATCCACCCAAGAAACATTACTTATACATTTCAGCAACTAAGAATTTCTTGGAGAGTGACCAGCCAAGATTTCAAATTTGACAATGCACCAAAATTGGGGCATACCCGTGTAATACAAATGTTTGACCAATACAACCAAATACAAATACTATGGGAATTCATTCGACCACCAAAAGTTGAAATTCTTCATAGAGTGCCATTCACAGAATAATATACGTTAAGACTAAGTTAAGATGTGTTTCCACTGTAAGTGGGGTGCTAAATCTGTCCTCCTATTCCCAGGGGGAGGTTTTGCTTTGGCCACGGATGATCCAATCCCCAAATCATTTGGGAATCCCCATCTGCGACAGGATGACCTGCTGCTATGAAAAACCCCAAGAAATTGGATGATTTTCTGATTGAAAATGAGAAAAGCTGACGCAATTTTGATGAAATTATGATTCAGGGACTTCAAAAATCTCTGGTAAAAAAATGTCATGGACAAAAACCCATGTTCCAGATTTTGGTGACGCGGTTTTTTATGGTGACAGTCGAGTTTCGCTACCATCTTTGTTGATCCATAGCTTTTATTCCTCCCAATTTTACGTCGTATAGCGGAACTTGCCTCGTCAAAGCTGTGACCCTTCTCGGAGGCTTCCCTGACACGCCTTTTGGTCCAGGTCAACACCTGGCATCGTGGTCAATTGGAAAATGGGGATATCCATGGCAATTTAATGAAAATGGGGCTGGCAATTACCTGAAAATAGATACATTACATGAAATTACTCTCAAAATTCTGGTTTTCATGTAACATGAGAATAAACTGCGGGATTTTGGGCACAATAATACAAGACAAATATGCAGATGTCACTTGCGAAAACGGCACGCAGTTCCTGGTTCCTGGTGCCGTTCATGTTTGCACCAGTCCCTGATCTATCGGGGAATCCTGTGGCTTTGAGACAAGGAACCCTGAAGAAAATGGGGTTCGGAAGGTGATTTCCCTACCGAACATTGCTATTTTGAGGTGTCATTCCAGAAAAAAACAACATGCAAACTTCCGGCACCATTTCTAGACATCATCGGATAATGGAAATGGTTGGGAAACATACGCCATTTTTCTGGGAGACCATCCCTTCATCCTCACCTTGCTATCATCCACCGCCAGCGCTCGGTCCCGCCGCATGCGCGAAAGGATGTGGAGACCCGGAAGACAGACCACGGCGTAGTACCTGCGTAGTTCCACGGCGAAGCGACCGGGGGACTTGCGACATCTTGCGACATCCCTGAGGTATCCTGTGATATCTTGATTTGGTGAGGGAACTATTGCCTGAAACCAAATGATACTGTTATCAGGAGAAAAAAGGAGTTCGTGGATATTGAACACTTACACTTAAACCAAGTGTGGATCAACCAAAACGACATCACAGGTTTTTTTTCTGTAGGAATGTGATGCCTGGGGATGAGCAGCTGGCTGTCCAGAATCTCCATGGTCTCCAACTAGAAATATCTAGAAATTGGGCTCCTAAAACCTCGCAGATTTTCTATCTACGATGATCTACTGTAACGTTCCTGGTAGTCCCACCATGGCCCCTGGGCCATAAAAATCTGTGGAGATCGGATGAATCCCAAGTTTCGATGCTAAAAACCCAGCTCTGGGTGACGTTAAAAAATCCCCATATTTTTTGTTGGTCGAATCAGTAGAAATTGCCTGCAAAAAAAAACATCACCTATGACATACCCTCTGGTTCAACAGGTTGCTATTGAACATGGCCTGTTTTTGGGTCGCTTTTTTTTGAACCCATGGAAAAAATGGAATAAAAATGGTGATTTTCCATAGCTATGTAGACGTTTACCAAAGGATAGCCATTGACACTTCACCAATCCCTCTGGCTGGGCTCCCACGCCATCGACTGACGGTGCCTTTCAGCGTCCTCTGACTGAAGGTCACGACGCTGCTCCTCAGCATTTAATCCAATCGTGAGATCTATGGCCTGGTAGGCACAAGAAACAGCAAGTCACCCAACAAAAACATAAAGTTCATAAATAATTCCATAAATTTCATATCAATTTTTAAAATTCCATAAATTAGCATATAAATGATCATTTGATTTCACATATTCCATAAAACCCATACAAGCGGGGACCCAGTATGATACATTATCATTAGTGGCTTAAACTGATTGACCACCCCAACAAAAGAGATCATTTGCAAATCCATTGCCATCCACCCAAAAATGGATTGGTCTAAGCCAAGGCCGGAACCCTGCTCCACTTGAAGCCATTCGCATGGCCGGCATGGCCCTGCAGCTGTGTTGTGTGATGGTTTCTACCCATCCCAAAAAGCACCCATGACTGGGAATGGTATGTTTATACCACCTATAAAGATGGTGATGACTGGGGGATGGTTTATGAGATTGTTTTGCCAACATTAGTCGGTTGCACTTGATCGTCATGAGGAGCGGAGCATGAAGATGTTTGAAACCTGCCAGGTGATGTCCAATAGGAAGCTCATTTTTCTTGCTCCGCACCTTCTTCAAATGAAAGCGTTCAGGCAAAATCCTGTATTCCATCCCCTTCATTCATTGCTCAGCACCACTGCCGCGGCCCAAACACCGTGCCTGCAAGATGTCTTCTTCGGCCGAATGCCGCTACATCTTGCCTCCCGCTTGCGTTGGGTACACATCAACCTCAGTGCCTCCGAACGAATACAGTAGCTGGTAGAAATGACACAGTTCACAAAAAAGGATAATTTGATCCTTACCCAAATGACCACCATCACCATCACCACCATCACCACCAGCATCATCATAAACCAGGGAGATTAAAACCATTTGAAACAGCATCAACAACAACCGAAAAGCACCTGGCAGCCACGGCCATAGCTTTTGCTCGAAAGCATCCAAGCCTTCCCCGGACGACCATGTGGCTTCGGTGGCACAGGCACTTGGATAAGTGCTGCGCATCTCAAGGTATGTAAAACAAGGATTATTATCTTGGATTTTAAGTCCATATATGACATATATATATATATTACATATATATATACTGTATATACATATATTAAATACCATCGGATGCTAAATGAAATATCATTGGGTTGTGTGATTCGTTGGTAATCATCTCTGGGCATATCCAGCAGATTCTGAGTGATTGGAGCCACACATTTAACCGTGTGATCATCCGCGAAGGCTAGGTAGAATAACATGCATATGCTACCACAAAGTGGGGCCCAAAACTAAAACCCAACTTCTAAACCCATGCAACTGTATGTATGAATATGTATTACTGTATATTATATATATATATATGATTATATATGTATCCACCACGGTGATTACTGGAGATGTGATCTACAATCAAACATGGCTTGAGATATGATTTAAACAGATATAAACCAGCGGCCATCGGCCAAGATGTGCCTTGGGCAACCACCGATGTTCCATTTGCCAACGATCTTCCATAGATTTCCCGTTGTCCATTCCATTTTTCCACCGATTTCCCAGGGTTCCATCCGAATTTCCCATCGGTTTCCCACAGATCTCCCACATTTCTCGGCATCGCTACCTCCAACCCTTGGCGTTCCAAAGTGGTCAGCTGCTCCAAGGCAGCTTTGCGACACCTCAGCTGCCATTCATTTTAGGGATTGATCATTAATAGTAATAGTAATACACCATCAATAGTACCACTGTTATAGTAACACTGGTAACATTAATCATTAATAGTAATAGTAATACACTGTTATTAATGCGTCCAATACCAGTAAATAACACATGGTAATAGTACTGATACCATTATTTTTGGTAATCGTACGTAATATTATGTACAATGTGTATATATATATAAACAAAGGTAATGGGCTTTCAAAAAATGTTCTGTGGATACAGTCAAGATAATCTGGCCTAAAGTCTGCACAATTTGGCGTAAATAGTAATACTATATAATGGTAATAGTAATATAGACTAGAATTACCATGGTAATAGCAATGTTTTTACTATTCATATGGTAATAGTAGTGATACTAAATGAATATGGTAATAATATGGTGGCAATTCATTGGTAGTAATGGATGATAGAACTAATAGCAGCTAATGTAAATAATGATAAATAATATAATCAACCAAACTATAGTGAATGAATCCAACCATCTCACTGCTAGTAGATCGTCAAACGTAATAATAGTCTTGATTATGGACTCTTGACTAGTAATAGTAATTAGTAGTCAACGGTATAGCAATGGTAGTCAATACTAATTAGTCAACAGTAACAAATGATCAACTACTATTGACAAAATCAAAAGTTGATTGCTGTAGCAAAGCCCATGCCCAACATGGTTTCAAACAGTAGTCATTACGCATCATCATTTGTGCATCATCCTCCCTGTTTTAGGGATGCGACATGCGACCCAAAGGTATGTCTGTATATGTTGTCCAATAGGTTTCCCATGATAATCTCAACTTGCTATCCTCATGCTGGTTACTATCCCAGTGTCGATGAATCACCATCCCCCGGACGTCACCGGGGCCCCCGCGGAGGACTCAGGCGACTTAACAACTCATGAAGCTGTGCATAGAAATGGGTTGCCTCCAGCGAAATCCCAAAAGGATTCGAATGCGATTCAGACTTGGGCTGTTTTTCACAACCGTCTTGGCATGGTAGCTTGGATGACCTTCCACAGTACGTTTTTGCCTATATATATATTATTATATATTATTATTATATATTATCATATCAATAATATTCAATAATTATGTATACAAACATATGGGGGGGGTCCCAAAAAAGGGGTACCCCCAAATCATCCATTCTAAGATTTATCATTGTAAACCATCCAGCTATATCCAGCTATTGGGGTACCCCATGCCACTAATTTTGCCACACCTCGTAGGAAGCCATGCTGGCTGCCTGGAAGGTGAAATCGATCTTAGCCGCTTAGCCGTTGATGTGAAAACCATCCCGATAACTTGTCAGAAATATAGGTGGTATATGATATTACAAAAAAAAAACACCCGCCACACACACATCAATAGCAATTTCCAATTGGATCCAATTGGATCTTTATGATTGGGTTTACCCGTTTACCACATGAATGAAAGGGCTGCCGTTTACAAATCCCTTGCCCCCTGTCTCAAGTCTCATCTCAAGTGAGGGCCCATCTGCGGCAGCTTCCCCGAGCCTGCGTCATTTTGGAGAAACTCGATTAGGCCTTGGTGGCAGTGCTACTTGGATATGATATAAAGATACAATTTATAAATGGATAGAATTAAATGGGAAACCCACTTGCTATCATTTGCTCGGTCCAAAACATCTCTATCTCAAGGCGTTTCAGGAAAAATCAGACCACCCCAAAAAAACGAGACAGAGGCTTTTCAAAGTCTGAGGTCAGAATGGTCAGAAAAGGTCAGAAATCATGATTACCTTTCCACATCTTTCAGCAAATCTTTGAGCACAGTCTCAATTGGATTAATTAAGGGGGAAAATCACCGGAAACCATGGGTTTTCTTTATATTCCATGGGAACCACCCATGGTTTCCTGTAGATTTTCCCACCAATCGAAGAAAATCCTGGCACGCCGGGGATCCCCACCCTCCTGCCACGCCTGGCCAGGTGAAAAATCTGAGGAACCATAGTTTTGTCTTTTCCCATGTTTATCATCCCAGCAAAATCAATCAAATTTGGGGGTGACCGTTTATTTAGTGCCCCTGAAACTAGTCCAATGGCCCAATGGATGAGGATACTGGGAGGTTGCTGCCCCTGAAACCAATCCTATGGTTTACTCTCCGAAGCTATTCGTAATACCCTCTGGTTATGACTAACATAGCCATGGAAAATCACCATCTTTGAGAGGTAAACCATCTATAAATGGGCCATTTTCCATGGCTATGTTAAATAACCAGAGGGTACCATTTGTGTATCACTCTAGCATTCAGAAAAGAATGAATTGTTAGACTGTTAGACAGATAATTCCTAGCAAATCCTACGAAGCAATGGGTGCCCATCATCAAGTATCATGACCGGAAATGTTGGCAATATCGTCTGTTCGCAAAACATGACTGCGGATGTTGTACTGTGGGGAAAATACAAACGTCTGCAGCCACACTCTGGTATTTGTTTGAACAAGCAACAGCAACAACAACAACAACAACAACCAACAACCACAACAACAACAACAACAACAACAACAACAACAACAACCAACAACACCAACAACACCAACAACACCAACAACACCAACAACAACAACAACAACAACAACAACAACAACAACAACAACAACAACAACAACAACAACAACAACAACCACAACCACAACCACAACCACAACAACCACAACAACAACCACAACAACCACAACAACAACCACAACAACCACAACAACCACAACAACAACAACAACCACCACCACCACCACCACCACAACCACAACAACCACAACAACCACAACAACCACAATCACATCACAACCAATTTGTTGATTGATCTACCCACAACCGTGTGCCACTTATGGACAAAGTTGGATGGTTTGATGAAATCCTTGCGTCCCAGCTTCATGCTATCAGGATCTTCGATAAAGAGGTCTATTTAGTTTTAGCTTGGATCCATAATGATCCATACTCGAATCACTCCAACCCTCCATGTCATCCTGGGCCAAGCCTAACCCTCCTGAGAGACCTCGCAAGCCTCCTCCTCCTTTCAGCCCTCCTGCAGTCATCTGCGCTCTGCCACTGGGTTCACCACACGATGTCCACACCTATTATGGGGCAAATCAGCGTTATCACCCATGGTCAACGGCATGTTTGTTGGTGTAACCTCCAGTTCTTGGTTGGCTCCTGCCCTCTGCAATGCTCATAGCCACACCGGTCTCAAGGGAGGAAAGGGCAACCTGGCGAAAAGGGTAACCCGGATTTAGTCTTGGATCTGTTCATTCTAGGGTCCAAAAAAAGGGAACACCATTATTGATTCTCAACCTCCAGAAATTGCAGATTCGCAACGGAAAGGTGATTCAACAGGCTTGGCGACCAGTCTATGAGATGATCCAATTAGCTGCTTTCCCAACAAAGATGAAGGTGTTCCATTCCTTTGGGGCGAGTGGTTTTATGATGTTTTATGCAAATGTGGCAAAGTCAATGGGAACGTGATTCTCGGGTAATTCTCGTTTTTCGAATACCCCACAATGGCAAAATTGGGTGCATCAAAGATGATTCATCGTTCTGTATTCATCTGTATTCATAACATATTCATAACATTTTATAGCACGATCATGCTCCCGTCATCATCATCCGTTCATCATCTTCCGTGCAGATGCCGTGAGTGCACCTGGCCGTTCACGTAAGAGGTCATCGTGCTGAAGAAAGGCCTCAATAATCATCAACTGGCACCGGAAAGCAATGATGGGATAAGCATGGATAAGCTAGTTGAAGGAACCAGTGAAGCAATGCTCTTAACGGGGTTGAAAGAACCAATTGAATCTCTGAACCAGTGAACCAAGGATCTTCCGATCATTGAGGGGTGATCTGTTGGAAGATCTTTTCGACATACAAGTATTGAAACCCTGAAAGAAACTGCATACTAGAAACTGGGGCACAGTGAAGCAGCAAAAAGATGAGGACATAACATTGATATGACTACCACCAAACGATGACATTGATGGGGGCTGGGGCGCAACTGATACAACAAAAACGAAAGTAGAGAGTTTGCGACCCAAAAATTGCAGACTTGGCCAATAAACATTCGGATCTATAGATTCTATAGTAGATTGCACAGATATTCATAATGTATAACTCTAACCCACAAACATTAGCAAGACTTGGCACTTGTTGAACCCCGCTGAAGTCATTTTCTGAGGTCAAGCACGGGCGGGGCCGCTACCTTGGTATCTTCTGGATATTTTGTTGAGTGATATTCTGGAGATCTTTTGAGGTATGTAATTAATCTATTGATTGAGATTCTGGAAATCTTTTCAGCACTTGTATGGAATTGTTTGAGATACTGCAGATTGTATTTTGAACAATTTTGGTGACATGTTTATTCCGCATGAGTAGATTCAACATGTATGAAGCAAGAACATTTTGGGGCGGTACCCAATTTCGACCCAGCCCGAGGTCGAAGGGATCAAGCTGTTGGACATCCTCAGCAGATGTCCTTGACTCAAATGAAGTCCCTGAATGTCCCTGTCCGATGATCCGCGATCTTGGTTCAATCAATTTTTCTTTACAAAACCCACATAGAAACACCAAATTTTGGCATGTTTGTGGATCACGGTTCCAACGCCCCAAAAAACATCATCAAAAACAAAAAAAAAAACCTCTTGCTGCTCAGTCACAAGATATTCGTTCCAAGATCTCCGGTTTGAGCCCCACAAACCCAAATCGGTATCATATCGTTTGCACAATCAAGGAAGCTATGACCTTATCATAGCTACCCCTATGATCTTCCCATAGTTTTTGCATCACTTCATTGAAACTCAAGTTTTCAGGCCTACAAGTTCATTCTTCCGAACTGCTGTAGGAAACTTGCAAGCATGCTATGGTGCTGTCGTTGTCAAGTTGATCTCCGAGAGCAATCGGGGTACTGATCAAACTTCACTACTAGAACAATCTTGGTAAGTCTGGTCAATGTGTCCGTAGAATTCCCCCATCTTTGCATGTTTTTTTCGTCGCGTTTTCCCGGCCTTTCCAATATAGTTTCTATGTGAGTTTCCCTGGGTTTTTAATCTAGCTGGAAGAGCATCTAAACCCCTGCCCACCAGCTGCAAACCAGTTTTTCCGGTGACACGAAAAGCGAGGATGCCTTTGGCATCTCAACAGACATGTCCGTGGGAGGTTGGTAGGGTTGATGGATTCCTTGGTTCCATGGACTCATCCATTGCTGAATCTATGGTGAAACTCTTCCCACTTGGGGATTGGATTCCGGTGTGTTTGTGGTCACGGTCTCTACCCCAAAAAATGCCGGGACACGACTGAATGGCGATGTCCCCGAAACCACAAAAACATATGGAGACCTTTCAGATCTACGGGGGTCTCAAAGGAAAAACAGATCTCCCGGCCATGTTCATCTTGAACTGCATTTAAAAACAAATAACACGATCTTTTGTCATCTCTTGGCGAGATCCCTGTAACCTCCCAGCTTTGCTGCTGCTCAGTTGTGCGATGCTGCTTCGGAACTCCAATCGCCGCCCTGAGTAGTGCAGAACACCATTTGCCACAGCAAAAACATGGACACCATGATACAACATGTGGGGCGTGTGGATAAAATATAGATTACACATAGATAACATATGGATACAAAAAAAATATAGTCATATAGATGATAAACGATATCATTCTACGGAAGATAGATGAAAATATGTCAATCATCGAAGGAAGCCTAGAAGTCAAACTTCCGACAATATGGACAGATGAAAAGCAGAGCAGGGCAGAGGCAGAGAGAAGAGAAAGATTAGAAGAAAGAAGAGTAGAAGAGAAAGAGTAAGAAGAACGAAGATGCAGATGCGCGAAAAGGTAGGAAAGTCGCGAAACACTGTGTTTTTCCAATGATTTGTGGCTCCGGGGGGTCGGGTGCGGAGACATCTGGCGAGATGAGAAATGAAAAGTTGCACGCCGTTTTGGCGCGAAGCACATTTTGAAGTGAAAATGTACAAAGCACCACATGTTCGCGCCACTTTTGGAGGTTCAGATGTCGAAAAAGTGCACGCCGTTGTGGCGTGAAGCACATTTCGAAGTCAAAATGTTAAAAACACTAGGGGTTCGGACCACTTTTGGAAGTTGCGATGTCGAAAAAGTGTACGGCGTTGTGGCGCAAAGCACATTTCCAAGTCAAAATGTACAAAACACACCATGGTCGGACCACTTTTGGAAGTTCAGATGTCGAAAAAGTGCACGCCCTTGTGGCGCGAAGCACATTTTGAAGTAAAAATGTACAAAACACCTCAGCGTCGGACCACTTTTGCAAGTTGCGATGTCGAAAAAGTGCACGCCGTTGTGGCGCGAAGCACATTTCGAAGTCAAAATGTGAAAAACACCAGCTGCGATGTCGAAAAAGTGCACGCCGTTGTGGCGCGAAGCACATTTCCAAGTCAAAATGTACAAAACACACCATGGTCGGACCACTTTTGGAAGTTCAGATGTCGAAAAAGTGCACGCCCTTGTGGCGCGAAGCACATTTCGAAGTGAAAATGTACAAAACACCACATGTTCGCGCCACTTTTGGAGGTTCAGATGTCGAAAAAGTGCACGCCGTTGTGGCGTGAAGCACATTTCGAAGTCAAAATGTTAAAAACACTAGGGGTTCGGACCACTTTTGGAGGTTCAGATGTCGCTTCGCTTCGCTTCACTAGACTACACTACATTACACTACACTACATTCCACAACACTACAACTACAACTACACAACTACACTCCACTACACTCCACTACACTCCACTACACTATATTACACTACACTCCACTCCACTACACTAAATCCGCCCACACCGCTTTGGCGGTGAAGGCGTGCTTATTGGGGGGCAAAACAGCAACACTAAATGCTCAATGACATTTGTTAATATAGCAGTCGCTATATCAGCTTTAGCTGGGGGGGGGGGGCCCAAAAACGGTTTCGCACCGAGACCAGAATACGGTGGTGTTTTCGACATTTTTCGAGGATTTTTGGGTGTCTGAGCGCAAGAGGGTATTGAAATGGAATTTTGGGTCATTTTGGTAGCTTTCCGGCAATGGAAAAACGGCCAAAAATGAAAAAAACATTGTACATAGCAAGATTTTGCAGGGTTTTTGGATGCCAGAGCATTGAAAACACTGCAAAAACAAGTGTTTTGGACTGACGTTATAGCAAAAAACGTGTAAATTACCGTATGCTTGACTGGAAGCATTACAAAAACACTGTCAAAAGCAATGTTTTGGAAGGATTTACTGCCTTTATGGCAAAAAACGTGTAAATTACCGTCTGTTTGACTGGAAACATTGGAAAAACACTGTCAAAAACAATGTTTTGGAAGGATTTCTTATATATATGTTGGAGTTGGCTACCGGCATTGGAACATGGAAAAATTGAAGAAAACACTGTAAATAGCGGTATTTTCAACGGTTGGGGAGATAAGGGAATTGGAAGCATTGTCGAACATGATGTTTTCGACCGGTTTTATGGCGACAAAAGTGTAAAGTACCGTGCTTTGAAGGAAACCATTGCAAAAACATGGAAACACATTCAAAGAACACGGGATTTGGGGAACTATCTAGGCGTCGTTGTCTAGCTATTTGAAATTCCGCAGCTTGGAGAGCCTCCAAGGGAGGAAAAAGTGAAAATTCCATAGCTTGGGAAGCTGTCACGGCGGGGAAAAGTGAAAATTACCTAGCTTGGGAAGCCCCCACGGGGGGGAAAAGTGAAAATTCCCTAGCTTGGGGAGCCCCCACGGGGGGGAGAAAGTGAAAATTCTTAGCTTGGGCGGCCACCCCACGCGAAGCGGGGTGAATTACACTACACTAAATTACACTACACTACACTCCACAACACTACAACTACACAACTACACAACTACACAACTACACAACTACACTCCACTACACTCCGCTACACTAAATTACACTACACTACATTACACTACACACTACACTCCACTACACTACACTAAATTACGCTACACTACACTACCTTCCGCTACATTTCACTACATTACACTACACTACACTCCACTACCACTACACTAGAACTACACAATTACACTCCACTACGCTCCACTACACTCCACTACACTAAATTACACTACACTACACTCCACTACACTAAATTACGCTACACTACACTACCTTCCACTACACTTCACTACATTACTCTACACTACACTCCACTACACTACAACTACAACTACACAACTACACTCCACTACACTCCACTACACTCCACTACCCTAAATTACACTACACTACATTACACTACACTCCACTACACTACACTCCACTACACTACATTACACTACACTACACTACATTACACTACACTGCGCCCCACTACACTACACTACATTACACTAGACTGCACTACCTTCCACTACACTTCACTACATTGCACTACACTACACTCCACTACACTACAACTACACAACTACACTCCACTACAGTCCACTACACTCCACTACATTCCACTACACTAAATTACACTACACTACACTACATTACACTACACTACATCCCCCTTCACTACACTACATTACACTACACAACTCTACCCTCCACTACACTTCACTACATTACACTTCACTACACTCCACTACACTACAACTACAACTACAACTATACAACTGCACTCCACTACACTCCACTACACTAAATTACACTACACTAAATTACGCTACACTACATTACATTGCACTACACTCCACTACACTACACTACACTCCACTACACTACCTTCCGCTACACTTCACTACGTTACACTACACTCCACTACACTACAACAGCAACTACAACTACACAACTACACTTCACTACACTCCACTACACTCCACTACACTACACTACATTACACTACATTACACTACGCTCCACTACACTCCACTACACTCCACTACCCTAAATTACACTACACTACATTACACTACACTCCACTACACTACACTACACTCCACTACACTACAACTACACAACTACACTCCACTACAGTCCACTACACTCCACTACACTCCACTACACTAAATTACACCTCACTACACTACACTACAACTACAACTACAACTACAACTACAACTACAACTACACAACTACACTCCACTACACTAAATTACCCTACACTAAATTACACTACACTACATTACATTACACTACACTCCACTACACTCCACTACACTACCTTCCACTACACGACACTCCACTTCACTACAACTACAACTACAACTCCAACTACACAACTGCACTCCACTACACTAAATTACACTACACTACATGACACTACACTACACTACATTCCACTACACTCCACTACACCACACTACATTACACTACACTACATTACACTGAATGACACTGCACCACAGATAGACAAGGTAGATAGTCAGAGAAAGAGACAGAAAGAGAGAGAAAGTCAGGAGACCTCAAGCACCTTTCGGTCCATCAGTGGCTTCGCTCTGCCATCCCCGATTCACAACAACCAATCTCTCCTATAGGCCTATAGGTTTCCTATTTTTGAAACTTCCGCCACCGCCTTGCGCGGTACTACTGGTAAAACTGCATGTTAACAACTGGAAAAACATGAACACTTTTGCATCCGATTCCTTGGCTAAGCTCTGCCTGTTCTGGGTCGTGTGCCTGCATGCATATTACTTCCCATCTTTGAGACAGGAAATCTCTGCAAATACTTGCTTGCCACAGAAGTCCGTCGTTTTATTTTTGACATGACCCCCGTTGAGTTCTGGCCCATCAGAAAAAATTATCTGCCTTAAACTTCTGGTGATTCACAAACCTGAAATAATGCGATATGTCAAGTGATGGTGCTCCGATCGGGTCTCCATGCATGGGCCCATGGGGTTGAGCTGCGCCAATGGTTGTTGCCTGCCAGGTTAAAACCACCAAGTGCTTGGTCATGGTTCTGGGCAAGTCTTACATCTGATTCCAAAAATTCCCCAAATCTGGACATGCTGTGAACATCTGTAAATCATCTATTGTTCGTTGGATGAACTCCCCGTCTCCTTACGACCAACGTCCAACAACATCAAATTCCGCAAGAGTTTAAGTCCCAAGAAATGGCCTCCTTCCCCACGAAGACCGGTGAGGCCAGTCAAACTTCCAGTGGTGCCCATCCTGGTGAAAGCATGTCGAACCACCCATGTTTTTCGGATGTTTTTTGAGGACCAAAGGAACATATCCCACAAAATCCCACCAACAAAAGGTGGGTGACTGAGATGATATATCAATTTCTGAGAAACTCGGAAGAATCAAACCACAATCAACAGGGAAAAAAAAACACGGTGTGATAACAACTACTTGAGGCCCACGGGTAAGAGACAAAAATTACCCGGCGGATTCGTTACCGCCGCGCGATTCTGCAAAAAACATCGTTTGATCATGATCCCTGCCATAGCCCCCCCCCCATGCCAGCATACCTTGGAATAATTGGATATTATTCCAGCCGCATTGCACATGTTCTGGGAAAACATTTCAGTATGTCACACGACATCGGGAATAATTAGGGTAAATTTAGGGCAACCCCCCCCTCTCCATTCATATAAAAATACAAGTTGCAATCAAATTTGGTATATTTTTGGCATGTGTTGATTGAGGTTGTATTGCCACAAACCACTAGAAACCTAGTGTCAGAAAATCTTTTCAAAAAAACTCAAAGGTTTATTGGGATCTTGAAAGTTTTGCTCGTTCCTGGTTTCAAAGATGTGCTCCGGCAATGCTCAACCTATCTCAACCTGTGAAGAATTCCTAGGTGTTTCCTGGTGATGCCCAATTTCCCCTGGGTGGTTTAGAGTGGAGAGACAGTGTAACAGTCCAGAGGTGAGCTCTGGCGGTACTGTCGGAAGCTCATCTGGGAGAGGATGGTATCCTGCAGTGTCCTTGGGATCAATGGGTCCCTTACTACGTGCCGCATGAGTTTTGGCTGCTACGTAGGCTTGTTGAATCAGCACTCCATGCTGTGTCGCCATGATGTGCAGGTATCTATAAGCCCATATGGCGGCTTTTCTCGTGCTTGGACCGTCGTCGGCTTGATTTTTGTTGGCACGGGCCAGAATGTTCCTCGCTTCTTCTTCCCTTGCTTTAGCGGAAGACATATGGGTAACTTATGGTAATTTAGCCAAAGACCAATGGACCCACTGAATCCCACTGAGTGAACATTGGTGACCCAATGAATGGTTTGAAGAATCCCTGGGTTTTCTCTGGATTTTCCTGGTGATGCCTAATTATTCCTGGGTGTTCTGACATATGTGGGTGACCTGTGGTTAAAATATGGGTACTTTAGCCAAAGACCAATGGGCCCACTGAATGAACATTGGTGACCCAATGCATGGTTTGAAGAATTCCTAGGTGTTTCCTGGTGATGCCCAATTTCCCTTGGGTGGTTTGACATATGTGGGTGACCCGTGGAAGACATATGGGTAACTTATGGTAACTTAGCCAAAGACCAATGGACCCACTGAGTGAACATTGGTGACCCAATGAATGGTTTGAAGAATCCCTGGGTTTTTTTTCTGGATTTTCCTGTTGATGCCTAATTATTCCTGGGTGTTCTGACATATGTGGGTGACCTGTGGAAAACATATGGGGATGTCTCAAAATAGGGGTGCCCACATGAGTGCCCCAAACTTTTTTCAGATGAAAAAGAAAGTTTGGGGCACTCCATTTTGGATACATTCTCATACGGGTAACTTATGGTAACTTAGCCAAAGGCCAATGGACCCACTGAATCCCACTGAGTGAACATTGGTGACCCAATGAATGGTTTGAAGAATCCCTGGTTTTTTCTAGATTTTCCTGGTGATGCCTAATTATTCCTGGGTGTTCTGACATATGTGGGTGACCTGTGGTTAAAATATGGGCACTTTAGCCAAAGACCAATGGGCCCACTGAATGAACATTGGTGACCCAATGCATGGTTTGAAGAATTCCTAGGTGTTTCCTGGTGATGCCCAATTTTCCCTGGGTGGTTTGACATATGTGGGTGACCTGTGGAAGACATATGGGTAACTTATGGTAACTTAGCCAAAGAGCAATGAGCCCCTGAGTGAACATTGGTGACCCAATGAATGGTTTGAAGAATCCCTGGGTTTTCTCTGGATTTTCCTGGTGATGCCTAATTATTCCTGGGTGTTCTGACATATGTGGGTGACCTGTGGTTAAAATATGGGTACTTTAGCCAAAGACCAATGGGCCCGCTGAATGAACATTGGTGACCCAATGCATGGTTTGAAGAATTCCTAGGTGTTTCCTGGTGATGCCCAATTTCCCTTGGGTGGTTTGACATATGTGGGTGACCTGTGGAAGACATATGGGTAACTTATGGTAACTTAGCCAAAGACCAATGGACCCACTGAGTGAACATTGGTGACCCAATGAATGGTTTGAAGAATCCCTGGGTGTTTCCTGGTGGTGCCCAATTATTCCTGGGTGTTTTGACATATGTGGGTGGCCTGTGGAATAAATATGACAAATGAGTCAAGATAAATAATTTCCTTGGGGCCCCTGTGCTTTTCTATCTGGCATATCTTCTGACATCTTCTGACATTCTATCTGGCATATCTTCTGACATCTTCTGACATTCTTTCTGGCACTCTATCTGGCATATCTTCTGACATTCTATCTGGCATATCTTCCGATATCTTCTGACAGTCTTTCTGGCACTCTATCTGGCATATCTTCTGACATTCTATCTGGCATATCTTCTGACATTCTATCTGGCATATCTTCTGACATTCTATCTGGCATATCTTCTGATATCTTCTGGCATTCTATCTGGCATATCTTCTGATATCTTCTGACATTTTCTGGCACTCTATCTGGCATATCTTCTGACATTCTATCTGGCATATCTTCTGACATTCTATCTGGCATATCTTCTGATATCTTCTGACATTCTTTCTGGCACTCTATCACGGGCGATGAAACAGCACATAACAGATCATAACAGCACATGTATGCACATGTCATCAACGCTCATCTATTGTCATATATTGTCATCTATTTTTCAAATAATGGTTCAAATTTTATCATAACTTATCATCTGAGTTTATATGCCCATCAACAGCTAATTATTCTGAGGTATGTTGACACAAATTATTCCATACAAGTCTTGACATAGAATAGACCCCCTTAGCAGAATAATTAAAAATAGGCCCTAAAACTATTTATTCCAAATCAATTATTCCTGATGTGACATGCCCCCCTGGAATAATTACCCAAGGTAGGGGCCATGTTTGATCTGCACAACAGCTCAGTTCTATGAAAGATGTTGCGTTTTGTCTCAGGTTGCAACCTTTGCAGTGCACGAGTGCACAGCGTATCAACACCTATGTCACTTCATGCACACGAACCATTCTCTCTCACTCACGTACCACCACAAGTGCACAGCGTATCAACACCTATGTCACTTCATGCACATGCACCATCAGCAAACATATCAACTCACGTACCACCACGAGTGCACAGCGTGTCAACACCTATGTCACTTCATGCACACGAACCATCAGCAAACATATCAACTCACGTACCACCACAAGTGCACAGCGTATCAACACCTATGTCACTTCATGCACATGAACCATCAGCAAACATATCAACTCACGTACCACCGCAAGTGCACAGCGTATCAACACCTATGTCACTTCATGCACATGAACCATCAGCAAACATATCAACTCACGTACCACCACAAGTGCACAGCGTATCAACACCTATGTCACTTCATGCACATGAACCATCAGCAAACATATCAACTCACGTACCACCACAAGTGCACAGCGTATCAACACCTATGTCACGTCAATGAAGATGATCCATGAAGAACACACTATCAAGAACGTTATCACACCCCCCCCACCCCCCCACCCACCCCCTCCGAATCCCCCCCAACCAACACCCAGCGTATCAACACCTATTTCACGTCAATGGAAAAGAATGTTAACGTATTCATGTATATGCCAGCGGGATGTATATGTATATTCATCTATATGCCAACCCCATACCACCCCATCCTCATGTTGTCATGAAGCAAGTAGAAGTGGCGTAACTTACTAACAAGTCACTGACGAAGCAATTGCAACGTACGCTATCACCCCACCCCAACCCCACCCCAAATTCATGGTCCGGTAAACAGTCCGCTAGCAAAAACTAGCTTGGCAGGGAACTTGGCATGAAAACACAATGATGCTGAGGATGCGGATGCTGCCGAAGTTGTTTCCTGTGGCGACATGCCGACAGCATCCCCCTCGGGGATTGAGCTACGGCCAAACTGCTTGTGAACCGGCCAGCCGGGGAAGGAAGGGGGAGTAATCAAGTATGAAATTTCATGCGGTTGGAGATTCCGGCCCCCCCAATATATTGCTAAAGCAAGAGGGACTTCAACTAGTTTTCGTGATCGATAGGCCGATAGGCACAAATATTTTTTGTGCAATGATTATCATCAGTCATCACCTATCAAACCATAATCAAACCGCAAAACCCTAAGTTCCTTAGACCCCCGAAGCATCCAACTTTGGCCCAGTGCTTTCCCCCTGCCTGGGATTGATGCTGGCCAGGCCTGCGGCCCTCAAGCCCCTCATGGCCTGTGAAGTTGGGAATAATCGGGGTTTCATATGGGTTTGAAATGGAAAATTCAATTTGATGTCACTTGATGGCCATCAATCTGCGTTTTCCTTTTGATTTGTGATCTCTGTATGTTTTTTCCTGATAAAAATGCGGTGCCGATGTCAGCTCACGGAAAAACAATGGCAAAATGCCTTGACCCATTCCCGTGAATTCCACAAAAGGCCCACCATCACAGCACCCCCCACCTGCGCAACATCGCTAATGCGCTCCTGGCGCTGCTGGTTCAACTCCACCTGGTTTCTGTAGTAGTTGAACCTCGGCAAGCGATCAAAGCCTCACCCCACCTACCGCGCGGCTTGGAATCTGTGGCATGAAATTGCTGTGGCAAAGTTGAAAGGGCCCGAGTATGGCGGCAACCGGCGAGCGTGGCCAGCACGGCTCCCCCCCATGGTTTCACGGTTCCACGGTTCGGGCTCCACGGTTCCACGGCTGCGGCTGTCTTTAAAAACGAGAGCAGGAAATCACAACCGTCGAAAAACAAGGGGAGAAACGCCATGCCATCCACAACGGTTGTCAAAGGAATGAAAGATTTCCCATCCACGGTGACATGATGGGAAGGTTCGTGAATGGACAAGCACCTGCTTCTGAATAAATCCCATGCGCGATCCGTGCACCCAAAGCTTGGTTTAAGCACAACTGCTTGCTTACTTTGGCAAATTTTGACGGAAGCTGAAAGATTCTGACTGGCAGCAGCGTTCGCAAGGAGTATCGCAGCACAGCGATGCGAGGAGACAAAGACCGGGAGATCAACAATGGTTGCAAGGAATTGCACAATGAGCAGTTGGCATGACTGTGGTAAAGTATTCCACGTGCCTCCTGACTTTCCTCCGCCCTTGTAGACACACCCACTTGATGCAACCTCGTTTGTGCTCGTATGGTTTTGGATGCAGGTAGTGATGCGGATCGGCAAAAACCCTAAGCAAACGCTCTCTTGTATGTGACCGATTCACCTGTCTTTCTAATCAATTCTATCGCTCTATCTATCCATCAGTGTTTTCAGCTACATACAGCAAAATCGCCCTTTCTTCGTTCAGGGCAAGGCTGGCCTGCTGCAGACAGTACAAGAAGTATCTATCCATGGTATTTGATATATGTATTTTAAAAAAAATGGAAAGCTTGAATAGAATGGCATACAATAGAATTGAAACCTCCATGCTCCTCAGGAACCCGCCTTACATGTCCAGGTCCGGAAAGAGGGACCCCGGCAGGAGGGACCTTGTGTATGGTCCCGCGGGGTCGAGCCTGCGCGGCAGCACGCTGAGCTCCATCATCCTGGACGACCAGCCACAGAGAAATACCCACACAAATGGACGAAATATTCGAACTCATCCATTTGGGATCCATTTGGGAGCATCACTTCAAGGAATCAACATCCGACCTTACCTCTTACCGAAAAACTGAGCCTAGACAGATTGAATAGAATGGCATACAATAGAATTGAACCTCCATACTCCTCAGGAACCCGCCTTACATGTCCAGGTCCGGAAAGAGGGACCCCGGCAGGAGGGACCTTGTGTATGGTCCCGCGGGGTCGAGCCTGCGCGGCAGCACGCTGAGCTCCATCATCCTGGACGACCAGCCACAGAGAAATACCCACACAAATGGACGAAATATTCGAACTCATCCATTTGGGATCCATTTGGGAGCATCACTTCAAGGAATCAACATCCGACCTTACCTCTTACCGAAAAACTGAGCCTAGAAAGATTGAATAGAATGGCATACAATAGAATTGAACCTCCATACTCCTCAGGAACCCGCCTTACATGTCCAGGTCCGGAAAGAGGGACCCCGGCAGGAGGGACCTTGTGTATGGTCCCGCGGGGTCGAGCCTGCGCGGCAGCACGCTGAGCTCCATCATCCTGGACGACCAGCCACAGAGAAATACCCACACAAATGGACGAAATACTCGAACTCATCCATTTGGGATCCATTTGGGAGCATCACTTCAAGGAATAAACATCCGACCTTACCTCTTACCGAAAAACTGAGCCTAGAAAGATTGAATAGAATGGCATACAATAGAAGTGAACCTCCATACTCCCCAGGAACCCACCTTAAACATCGAGGTCGCGAAGAAGCGACCCCGGCAGGAGGGACCGCGTGTAGTTTCCCACCCGCTGGGGTCGCTGAACAGGCTGAGCAGCAGCGGCCTGCACGATCAGCTATAGAGAAATACCCTACATACATGGACGAAATATTCGAACCCTTTCTATCCGATACAACCCCCTCGCCCCCAAAGCTGGTGCATTAGCCCCAATGGGCGAAAAAAATCAAACCCCCAACATCACTTTTGCTAGCACGTGCGCTGAAACATTAAGATTTGGGGGTGCGGGGGTTCAACATAGTGTTTTCTGGAAGGTTTGAATATTTTGTCCATCTACTGTCTCGCTCCCTGATGTTTTCACATCTTTTGGTATCCAAATTTCTGCAGTGGAAACACCCTCCTGCATGCTGTTGATCTTATTCCAAACTGCGCAACACATTACCTTCCCACAGGTCAATGCAACCTGTCCGTCCCCCATCCAATTTCCGTCCCGGTTCCCTTCCGTTCCTTTTACAGTTCCTTTCCCAGTTCCTTTCCAATGTTCCTTTTTGCGGATTTCTTATGTTTCCCCAAGAAGTGTGTCCGCGCGTGTGCGCACTGAGGGGTTCTTACGGTAAATGTAAAGGCCGGTGCTTGATCAGGGTGCTCACTCTGGTCCGCGGTTTTTTACCTGGAAATTTCTGTATAAAGTGGCTCTTGTCAAATCTTGACATGCGTTTCGACTGCCCAGGCTCGCACAAAGTCTGCGGTGCAGTTTTAGGCCGCGGCATTTTTCCTGTAATTTTCCGTCTAAAGTGGCTCTTGTGAAATCTTGACTGCGTTTTGACTGCGCAGGCTCGCACGACATGTATGTCTTCGTTCTGGGCTGTCCGCCTTCTCAGCTCATTCTGGGATGCGCGCAGCCTCGCACAAAGTGTTTCTCTGCGTTCTACTTCTGGCCTTCTCTTGTCACGTCGTCTCTTCGCCTGGTGCCAAAGCCATCTATATACGCCATATGCTATTTCGGCTTGCATTGTCTTTGGAGCAATTGTCTCACGCATGAACCAACTCACAGAATAGGAGAATCTTGACATGCGTTTCGACTGCACAGGCTCGCACAAAGTCTGCGGTGCAGTTTTAGGCCGCGGCATTTTTCCTGTAATTTTCCGTATAAAGTGCCTCTTGCGAAATCTTGACTGCGTTTTGACTTCGCAGGCTCGCATGACATGTATGTCTGCGTTCTGGGCTGTCCGCCTTCTCAGCTCATTGGGATGCGCGCAGCCTCGCACAAAGTGTTTCTCTGCGTTCTACTTACTACTTCTGGTCTTTTCTTGTCACGTCGTCTCTTCGCCTGGTGCCAAAGCCATCTATATACGCCATATGCTATTTCGGCTTGCATTGTCTTTGGAGCAATTGTCTCACGCATGAACCAACTCACAGAATAGGAGAATCTTGACATGCGTTTCGACTGCCCAGGCTCGCACAAAGTCTGCGGTGCAGTTTTAGGCCGCGGCATTTTTCCTGCAATTTTCCTTCTAAAGTGGCTCTTGTGAAATCTTGACTGCGTTTTGACTTCGCAGGCTCGCATGACATGTATGTCTGCGTTCTGGGCTGTCCGCCTTCTCAGCTCATTGGGATGCGCGCAGCCTCGCACAAAGTGTTTCTCTGCGTTCTACTTCTGGTCTTCTCTTGTCACGTCGTCTCTTCGCCTGGTGCCAAAGCCATCTATATACGCCATATGCTATTTCGGCTTGCATTGTCTTTGGAGCAATTGTCTCACGCATGAACCAACTCACAGAATAGGAGAATCTTGACATGCGTTTCGACTGCGCACGCTCGCACAAAGTCTGCGGCGCGGTTTGTGGCCGCGACATGCCGCGACATTTTTCCTGTAAATTTCATTAATTTTCCGTCTAAAGTGGCTCTTGTGAAATCTTGACTGCGTTTTGACTGCGCAGGCTCGCACGACATGTATGTCTGCGTTCTGGGCTGTCCGCCTTCTCAGCTCATTGGGATGCGCGCAGCCTCGCACAAAGTGTTTCTCTGCGTTCTATTTCTGGTCTTCTCTTGTCACGTCGTCTCTTCGCCTGGTGCCAAAGCCATCTATATACGCCATATGCTGTTTCGGCTTGCATTGTCTTTGGAGCAATTGTCTCACGCATGAACCAACTCACAGAATAGGAGAATCTTGACATGCGTTTCGACTGCCCAGGCTCGCACAAAGTCTGCGGTGCAGTTTTAGGCCGCGGCATTTTTCCTGCAATTTTCCGTCTAAAGTGGCTCTTGTGAAATCTTGACTGCGTTTTGACTTCGCAGGCTCGCATGACATGTATGTCTGCGTTCTGGGCTGTCCGCCTTCTCAGCTCATTGGGATGCGCGCAGCCTCGCACAAAGTGTTTCTCTGCGTTCTACTTCTGGTCTTCTCTTGTCACGTCGTCTCTTCGCCTGGTGCCAAAGCCATCTATATACGCCATATGCTATTTCGGCTTGCATTGTCTTTGGAGCAATTGTCTCACGCATGAACCAACTCACAGAATAGGAGAATCTTGACATGCGTTTCGACTGCCCAGGCTCGCACAAAGTCTGCGGTGCAGTTTTAGGCCGCGGCATTTTTCCTGTAATTTTCCGTCTAAAGTGGCTCTTGTGAAATCTTGACTGCGTTTTGACTGCGCAGGCTCGCACGACATGTATGTCTTCGTTCTGGACTGTCCGCCTTCTCGGCTCATTCTGGGATGCGCGCAGCCTCGCACAAAGTGTTTCTCTGCGTCTTGTTTGTCGCTTGTTCTACGATTCTCTGCTTCTAAAAATGTTTTTTGTTTGTTTTGCAGCAGGTTGTTGGTGCTAATTCTTCATAAACATCATCATGCCTAATTTCTCTGCAAAAATGTTAACAGTAAAAACTAAAAACAGCCAATGGGATGGAAACAGTATGAGATCGCTTCACCCTAGTAAGCCATTCTATTTTGAAACAGCTGCCAATGCAACCCTTCAATCACCCATGCAAATTATGAGGCATTCATGTCATAATATACCTTTCACTCATAAGCTGCAACTTTCCTTCAAGACAACGTATTACTTCTTTCAAGAAGCAACATCACGAAATAAATAGCATTCCTCTAAAAATGCAGTGCTCCTTTCTGTAGAAGTCCAGTCTTCCTTATATGTTTTATTAAGCCTTCACTCATACAGCATTTCTTTCAAAACACCGGATACCTACACAGTATGCACACTCAGTATTGCCTTCAAAGGGCGCAATGGCCGATTCACATTGCAGCATTCCTTGAAATGAGAAAGATTGCTGTTAAGGGAAAATGCTGCGTACAGGTTGCAATCTGCCTTGAAGACAAGATATTCCTCTAAACAAGAAGGGCTAGTCTTGCAAGAAAACAATGGTGTGTGGAAGATGCAATATAGCCTTGAATTTAAATGAAGCAGAGCCTCATTCTCATTTGTCTGCATGATATTTGCTTTTACAGGAGAGGCTTCAATTCTTCAAAATAGTTGCCTTGAAAACAAGACAATCCCTGCAATAAAACGCAATATTCGTGCTGAAATACAAAATGTGAACTGGCGCCAAATATCCTTGATGAAGTTGCCATGCTTCACTCTCATGTTTTCTGAAAAACGGTTCGTATTTAAAGGAAACCACACTTCTTTATATAAAATAATGGTGCATGTTTTGTTCAGTTGCTTCACTCATATGAAAGGGCATGTTGCATACATGCAATTTTGACCTGTCTCTGCCCAAAAAATATTATATAGTTAGATACACTTCTACTTCGTAGCGATGCGTCTTTCTATTATTGCATGCTTTTCAATCGAATGGTCCACCGCCTTATCAAGGAAGCTTTGCACATACTTGCACCAACACGATCTTTAAGGAATGCTCATTTTTCCATCCTTTACGCCACGCGGCTGGATCGAGCTTTTTGATTTCAGCGACAAGTGTTTTCAGTTGCCCTCGGTATTTGCGAGGGCGCGCTCTCAACAACTTCTTTGGGTTTCAATGATGGTCCTTAGCAAGGCAAAATTTACGCCATCGCTTTTACCTGGAGCTAGGCGCCTCGCAAGCCAAAGCACTGGCAGAGGCAGAAATTTACCGAACTCCTTTAAATACAAGTTGCGCCTATGCGCCGTCCAGTTACGACAGAATGCGCGGTCGGCTGTCGTCAGGGCAGCTCTGTCCAGCAACTTGTTGTCGCACACGACCAACAAGCGCCGTGCAATCCGAATTGCACGCTTCGGCAAGTGATCCTGGCGCATGACTCCTAAGATCTGTTCCACGTTTGTTCTGGAACGAATGACACCCAGGCTAGGACTGTTGGATGAATCATACCATTTCAGAACATAATCATTTAAAGTAGGCACTCAAAGGATTCCATTCTGAAATAATGCTGTCCTTCTTCCATAGATCCTTCTGCCTCTTTGAAAGAACTTTGCACAGCTGCCTCTTCGAAAATGACTTTAGATTCCTTTCACATAAATGCTGCATTCCCATTTATAAGGGAACTGTACAAAATCATGCCACTTTATGCAAGGAATGATGTGACTTTATGCAAGGAATATCATACTCTTGGAAAAATATTGCCGCACAAGGCATGTACTAGAGGATTTTGCTTTGAAAACAACCTGGAAAGGCCATGCTAAAACTTGTTTGCTGATTCTATTTTCAAGTCTTGGCTGTGTTGTATTTCCTCCAATGGTTTCGAGCAAGTTTCTGGGAGGGTGCCCAAACCATTCGTTTGAAATCTGGAAAATTGAGCAAAGGGTTGTCCACCGGCATCAAACTGATGAGCACCACCAGAAGGCATGACAGAATAGAAACCATAGGATTAGCACCACTTGGGGTACTTCTAACATAACCTTGTCCTGGTCGAAAAATATAGAAGGTTAAAAGGATAGAAAGAGTGGCCGATACAAAAATGAAAGACAAAAATAAAGAAATATAGATAGGTAGATAGAAAGAAGGTCAGATAGGAAAGAAAGAAGCATCGATACAAAGATACGAAATCGAACGAAGTAAAATAACAAAGATAGAAACACAAATAGACAACAATAAAGCAGGATCGAAAGATAGCAACACAGATAGGGATAGAGATAGAGATAGAGATAGAGATAGACAGACAGACGGACAGACAGACAGATAGATACATAGATAGATAGATTACTGTAGGTAGATAGGTAGGTAGATAGATAAGTAGGTAGATAGATAGGTAGATAGACAGATAAATAGATAAATAGATAAATAGATAAATAGATAAATAGATAGACAGACAGATAAACAGACAGACAGACAGGCAGACAGACAGACAGATAGATAGATAGATAGAAAGAACGACAGATTGATAGAACGACAGATTGATAAATGTTATAGTATGGATTAGTATGGTAAAGTATAGAAAAGAAAAGTATGGTATAGTCTAGTATAGCAAAGTATAGCAAAGTATAGTATATATAATGTAGTAAATATATAGTGTGGGATAGAATAGGATAACATCATATAGCATAGTATAGTATAATATAGTATAGATAGATAGATAGATAGATAGTTTGATAGTTGGATAGTTAGACAGACAGATAGACAGATAGATAGACAGACAGATAGACGGATAGGTAGTCAGATTGGCAGTCAGAGAGAAAGAAAGATGGAAACCAGAAATATAGAAAAGGACAGGGAAAGAACTGCAAAAAGATGGATAGATGAAAATCTAGATAGACAGAAATCAAGAATGAAGGAGAATTATAATTAGGTAGATAGATCGATAGAGAGAACACCAGAAATTTAGGAACATATCGACAGGTAGAAAGAATGGTGGATCGACAGAGAGATTAGGAAGAAAAAATTGCAGAAGGAAAGGAAGATAGAAAAATAAACAATTAAATACGAACGATAGATAGAAAGACAGATGGATAGATAAAAATAGAAGGAACAGAACATAGATAGTCACATACAAAAACTGATGTTAAGAGAAAAAGAAAGATAGATAGATATATTTTAAAAAAATACAAAACAAGCAACATATAATTAGATAAAACTAAAAAGACCAGCTAAACAAGAAAAAACAAAATATCCTTAGATAGGTAGAAAATAGATAGTACAAACATATTGCAGGAATCGGAAGGTAAAGAGATCGAGATAGCTGGTAGATAGGTCATGAAGTCTTATGATAGACGTTAGAAAACACAAAGGAATATAGAAAGGTAACAACAACAAGTAACGAAAGATAAACAGAATATCTGAAAGATAGAAGGATAAAAACCAAGAGGTAGAAAGACAGATGGATAGATAAACATACAGAGAAGCATAGAAAGGTAGAACGAGCGAAGAATGGATATGTAGCCAAAAACGATCAAAAACGTAGATGGACAGATAGGTTGATAGAATCAACTGATAAATAGAAAGATAGATGGATAGATAGATAGGTAGATAGATAGAAAAGAAAATGGATGGATAGATAGATAGATAGATGGATGGATGGATGGATGGACGGGACGATAGAAAGATAGAAAACAACAGGTAGAGAGATAAATTGAAAGAACAGTATATAGATAGATAGACAAGATCATTTTATATAAGTGTATATATATATAGTTGTGAGTTGCACGCCGTGCACCCTGGTTTCATACATACATGTTGTTTTCTCATGTGGCCAATGTGGCCCAACTTCCCCTTCAAATCCCACTAGGGTGGGTAATGGTACCAACCTGGCTGCGCCATAGCCTTCGAAAAGGGGGCACCTTTGCTTTTGCGCCGAGCGGGGACTTCGGGAGCCTTGCTTGCAGATTGGTTTGGCAACTTCACCAATCTTACATTGGTAGCGGAGCCACTTTCTGTGGCCTGGTGGAGCCCTACTGCATCCTGGTTGCAGAGCTCTACGTTGGGATCTGACGGCCGAGCCCTACTTCTTTGACTTGATTGCCGCGGCTGGCTCGTGCTACATTCAGATCACCTTGGACTTTTTGGAGAATGGCATCGGCATCTTCATCTCCGATCTCTGACGTTTCAACCAGAGATAGTTTCATCCCACTCTTCACCGGGCAACCCGCAGACTACAAGGAGTGGAGGAAGAGAATTCATATCTACCACCGCAAGATGACCCTCACAAAGCGAGCTGGTGAATCTTTGCTGAACATCATCGGTAGCTTGACTGGAACGGCCTGGAGACTCTTGGAAGACTTCGACTTGGAGAGTGCGGAGAAGCCTGAGTCCTTCGAGGCAGTGATCGCCATTTTGGATGGCCACTTCCAGTATGACTCCAGAGTCCAGCTGCCCTCTGACTTCGACAGCTACTTTGGACTACAACGACGACAAGGACAAACCCTTCTCAGCTACGTGACTAGCCACTCTGAGATGAACAAGAAGCTGGAGAAGCATGGAGTCACCCTGCCAACCTCCGTGCAGGGCTGGCATCTCTTGCGTCAATGCGGTTTGACGCGGGAGCAAAAGCAGCTGGTGAACCTACGTGCACCAACCCTGGAGCTGACGAAGGTGACAGAAGCGCTCTACCTCATCTTGGGTCAGGACTACAAGCAGTCTACGCTTGGACATCCTGATCGACGATGGCAACGTGGAAAAGGTGGACGCGCCTATGCTGCTGAGGATGACTATGACATGGAGGACTGGGAAGACTATGATGATGCCTACTGGCACTATGGGGAGGACTTCAACACTGACGAGGTCTACGACCATGAGTATGACGACACTGGTGACTATGAGGCTGAGTTCGGCTACTACCAGAACGACCCTGATGGACTTGCAGCTGAACCGACGGAGTCCTTCGATGTGGAGGCCTATGATGAGGCTTTTGCAGCCTACTTGGATGCTCGGAAGAGATTCAGCGACTTGAAATTGTCGCGCGGCTTCCTGCCGGTGGTGGCACTGTCAGATCCATCAGCTGGCAACTTGTTGCCTGGGACTTCATCGCCGACAAGGTCATCAGGAGGTGGATCCCCAAAGGGAAAGTCTTTCAAAGGTGGTGGAAAAGGGAAAGGTAAGAAAGGAAAGCCCAACATCTACAAGTACGACAAGCCACCCATGAAGGCGGCTCAACCAAATCAGAAAGCTGCAGCAATGCTTCAGTGCTTGCGCTGTGGTCAACCTGGACACTTTGCGGCGAACTGCCCCATCAAATCCAAAGGTTCGAAGCGGCCTGCAACTGAGTCGATGGCTCGACATGGGCATGATGAGAATGCCATGGTGACGTTCGTTGACAAGAACGGCACCGAGAGGCTCGATGTTGCCCTGCTTGATCCTGGTGCTTCAGCTTTTCTATGTGGCTATGGGCCGATGGTTCGCTACATCAAGCACTTGGAGCAGCTGGGATTCCCAATCAAGCAGATCCTCTTCTACAGGTGCGAGAGGAAGTTCCACTTTGGAGGCGATGCGGCCAGCATGTCACGCTGGGTTGTCCGCATGCCGCTCTTTGTCAACGGCCGATTTGGATTTGCACAGGTGTTCATGGTCCCTGGTGAGACTCCAATGCTATGCGGCAGACCCATCATCCAGCAACTCAACATCTCCCTGGACTTTGCGACGGAGAAGATTCGATTTGCTGATGGGATGTGGGTTCCCTCTTTGATGGGCATGCATGGAGAATATCTACTACCACTCTGTGCCGACTTCGAGATCTACCACGACACTTTGGAGCCTCAGTTTGACCTGCAGCTGGCAACACCTGGAGAGATTGACATCAAGCCCTGGACCTTCGACGAGTTCAACAACGAGGAGACCATCTTCACCGCGACTGAAGAGCCAGAGGTTGTCACCCCCGGCACTCTGAAGTGTCAGCGCCACCTGCTGAACACCTTCGACGTCAAGCTTCTGGAGGAGATCAACAACCACCACAGCTACGTGACCTCAGAACTACATCGACATCGAGGCCGAGTGATTTGGGAGGTGTACTCTGGCAAGGGTCGACTCTCACAGGTTGCTGAAACCATGGGTGGGATCGTCAAGACCTTTTCTTTGGAGACTGGATGGAATTTCGATGATCCACAACATCGAGAACAGTTCCTGGAGCTTCAGAAAGCTGAATGCCCCGATGAAGTTTTTCTGTCGCCAACTTGCGGCCCTTGGTCCAACATGCAGAACATAGCTGCCAGAACTGATGAACAGAAACAACAACTGGCTCAACACCGAGAGTGGCATCATGCCACACACCTCAAGTTCAACCGCAAGGTGTACCTGCAGCAAGTTCAACAAGGAGGCCATTGTCACCTTGAACAACCTGCCTATGCCCACAGCTGGAAGACAAAGGCCCTCC